CAGCTCCCTCAACACCTTGGCCAGCGCTAATATTAAATCCATTACACCTTCTGTTTGACATTTGCAGTACAGCAGAAAGTGCTGTAGATACAGTCACATTGTCTGGGGACTGAGGTTGGATGTGGGGTTAGTAAGATGGTTTCCCTTGCCTGACTTCTAAATTCAGTTCATTGATAGGAAACTTGAACCAATAAAAAAAAAAATCAAAGAACGTCCCCTACCCTTGCCAACCCTATACTAGATGGTAAATAATTCGCCCTTAAAGGCACAAGTGTATCTCATATCTCAGCAGGTTTTGAAACAAAATAATGATCTGATCCTCAGATAAAATTTTTACATTCTTTATTGTTAGTCCTAAACATTTATTCCTCTAATTAAATCACTTATTGTGAAACTGTCTAATGAGTTCAGAGGAACTGCATTCCTGTCGAATCAAGTGTTGATCAAATTTACCACGGCACAGATGCATAAGTAGAAAATGCAGATTATTTCCATCCAGACAAGTACTCAACAGCTTCAATACTGCTTGTCTTTAAAATATTGAGGACATAGAGTAGGCATAATAGATAACATAAAGATAGTATAACAGCATAAAGATTACAATATACAATGATTATCTTAACCCTGCATAACAGGGTAGGTCTGTCTGAAACTGTAGACAGAGCACAATAACCTGTGTTTTAGACAATCAATGGTTAACCATGCTGCTGTAGTTATTCTTGACCAAAAGTACTGTCTCATACGTTTTGCTAAATTGTCTAAATCCTGGTGCAGTATTGATTTCTCTCTCTATGAGCTCGTACCCATTCAATAAGCTGCAAGAACCTCTTGTCCTGGCTGAATTCCCTCTGAAGCAGGACCCAGGCATGTTACTCCTGCCAGTGGAGTCCTACAGTTGGGACTTGATTGTTAGCTAGTGGGAAACAAACCACTGGAGACAGAAAGGACATTTTATGTTAAAGTGAGGAACATGACAGGGAAAGTTGCCTTAAGGTTAAGTGAAAAAGCAGATTACCAGAAGCCTGTGTGTTATGATCTTATTTGGGACAAATAGACAACAACCTCTTCCACCCACTCCACACTAAATACATACATATACAGGAACAGAACATCTAGAAGGATAGGCATAGAGTCTATACATACTAACGGTGGTCATTTTGGGGTAGCAGGATGTTTGGTGGTCTTTTTCTTTGTTTTCTGTATTCTCTAAAGTTTTCACAAGGCGAATGAATTAATTTTAAGGAATAGAAGGAGATTTTTAAAGTTCCTGCAGGATTTCATGAAAGAACTGCTTTTCTGTTTGTTAAGCATTTAAAGAGGCAGCACTGAAATTTATTTAAAGAGGATAGCACTCATAATCCTGGGATTACAGAATCACTAAGAGTAATGAAGAGCTACATGCAGATCTAGAAAAGGAAAGGAACCATCCAGACACCCTGTTCCAGAGGTTCTATGCTCCCCCTGTTGCAGGAGCCTGCAGGACAGCACAATCTCTTTCTAAATGTTGAGACCTACATAGGCACTCTAGAACTTTATAACCTACAAAGAAGGCCACCCGGATTTTTCTTCTGCCTGACTTTAAGATTTCTCTAGAAGAAACCTCATATTTACTAAACTACTAATAACCATTCACACATGTAAAAGGTTTATTTGGGTTTCTAACAGTCAAGGGATTTCCCCCACTCCCCTGCCATCATCCTGAGACTTCAAGACAAGACAGTCACAAGGCTGGCAGTTCAGAGAAACCGAATTCCTATTATGGCACAGTATCACTGCCTCTTAGGCTGGTTTAGTCACTTACTTCCTTTTATTATAATGCCAAATGTTATTTAGATTTCAGTCATTTAGTAATGCTACACTGAACACATCAGGGCTTCTGAAAAAGTCCATACCTTCATTTTCATAATCATCACATACTGATACCCCTTTCCAACAACATTACACTACCATTTAAAAAAGAATGTTTCGTCAGAGTTTAAAAGATTATGTTGCAGTGAACAAGTCTTCAAAAATGTCCCCTCATATTACCAAGAATTAGGAAATCTTGTTAAAATTCTTTCTGCCTTTAAGAAACATAAGCAGCTTTGGGATGGAATGCCTTGATGTGAACTTCTTAAGTAATTCCCTTGGAGCAGCGATCTGCATTAGTGAAGATATTTAGTGAAAGGTATCACCCTACACTGCTTTTTCGGTATTCAAACAGTCAATCTAATTGCCTTTTAAGCCTAAGATTGAAAATAACCAAGCTACAGAGTTTTAAGGCAAAGTAAGTTTTACATTTTGTAATGGTGGGAGCTATATTCTTCATCAAGGAAGAGAAACCCTTCTGATGCTGCTAATGAGCCCCAGTGGTTAAGAAACCTAGAAAGCAGAATTTTCAATTTTACTAGTTAGGATGGCTCCAAGAAGGTTGGGAGGGCAGGGAAAGGGACCCAAGTAAATTGTCAGTCATACTTCAACACTGGATGACAGATCAACTTTAGAGGAGATACGTTACTCTCCTAATAGTGTGCCTAGAGTTGTTTTATGGATCCTGGAGCTTCATGGAAGGCATGGGTTTGATCAGAGTTCTTATAATCCATCTTAAACCAGTGTGATTTTGACTCTAGCCTATAGTATCCCAGCAGAACTGGTTTACAGGTTTACTGGATTTTCTTTTTCTCCCGATCAAAGTCTTTTCCAAGTGACAAGTTACCCTTAACATGTGTTTGGGGAGACATCAAGCTCAATATGAATCAACAGTGTGATCTGGCTGCAAGAGGACCGAATTCAACTTTACGCTGTTTTAACAGAATTACGGTAATCTAAACCGAGAAAGGGGACAGTCCCTCTGCTTTGTACTACAGCTACAACTAGAGGTTGTACACTGGGTTCTTAGAGGGTCACCAACAAACTGAGGCATGGCTAGGGTGGGACACCAGGGAGGTGGGGGTCCCAGGAACATGCCATTGAATAATGTTTGTGGGATTAGGGGCTGTTGGACCTGGAAAAGAGAAGGAAGGGAGGGAGAATTTGGCATATCTGACTTCATGTATCAGAGAGGCTAGGATGGTGAGGAAATAGTAGATCTGAAATTTGATCCCACAGGACAGACCTGGGATCAGTGAGGAGAAATGGTGGCAAAGTTAGATTTTGGCTCCATCTTCAGAGAACTTTCTCTGGGAGCTGTTCGCCAATGGAGTGGGCAGCCTTGAGTTCAGCCTTTCTGAGCTTCCCATGGGGGCAGTTCCAGCAGAGGCTGGGGGGGTTGGCTTTGACGTAGAGGGATGGCTGTCCTGGTAGAAGGTTGGTGATCATCTAAACTTGAGGGTTTGTGAGTTGGATAAATGAGGGTTTTACAAACTTAAATTTTTATACATTCAGTGTTGAGGAGTATGAGTAATTGAGGTTCCCTAATCCATCTCCAGGAGGAAAGAGTAAAAAACTATTTTCATGTGCTATTTCTCAAATCTGCCCAGATAGGAATGTTCTAATGACTAAAAAGCAGCTTCACATATCACTCAATGAAGTCTGTGAGTAACAGTAGAAGATATGACTTCCCTGTGAACAAAATTATTTTCATTTTTACATGGTAAGGAGTAGTCTTAAATACTCTCCCTTCTCATGCCTGGTGCTTCACTGGAGAAAGATGCTCACCAATGCAGCAGAATAATGCCCTAGAAGCTGCAGTTAACTTACACGAGGAAACATGAATTGGTTTTAGATGGAATTACAATATTTCCAAAAAGGCAAATATGTTTTTTTCCCCATCTGTGTGAGCAAACATACTGTGATTATTTTTAAGCAGGTCAAATTTAAGTATTTTCTTAGAATCATTTTAGTATTAATCTTAAGACCGGTTTTTTCCACTTTTCTTTCTATAAAATGAGTTTGTGTTGCAAATCTGTTTTAAAACAACACATCAAGTAAAGTACAAGCATCTTTAAAGAGTGCAAAAATAATTTCCCAAGTAAGCAAATAAAACTTTGCACTTCAAATCAGGCCTTGATTCATTAAAAATCTTAAACTTCTCATGAGAAAAATTAACATTTAAACCACTGCTGCTTGGCCAAGCACTCCACCACACAAGAATATGAAATATCTCCTCTAAAAAAGTACAAAAAGGACAAAACCACAAATGTGGAACTTCAATTAATTTAAAGCCCCAATCAGCAAAGAATAAATCCTTCGCAGATCTAATTACCAGCGCTCTCGGAAGACCCAGGCCGACCAGCCAATCTTCCCCGTGTTTGAACAGCTTGATGAACTAGGGGACTGATGGATATCAAGTCATTTTGTTTAATTTATAAATGGATTTTCCCCTAATACTTAAATTATCATCAGTACAACACAATGAAAATGGGAACATTCTGAATGCAAAGTCTATAAGAGTCCTGGAAGGAATCCCAATGAGGAATGTCACCTCTGTTCATTCCTCTATACAATTGATCTAATTAAATACTGAGGGTGGAAAGGCAGTTTAAAATGTAGCCATTTCTGTTTTCTTTTTAGCCTTAATTTATCTGTTCACATCTTTCAAGTACCTTCTGATGCTTACAAAAAAAAAAAAAAAAAAAGAAAGAAAGAAAGAAAGAAACCAAGATTTCTGCAAGTCCCTAATATTTTTAATTCTCTACAAGCTACGACTCAAGAAGCCTTTATCATAGATTTTGCTGAATAATAAATAAATGCATTACATTTAGCCATGGAAACAATAAAAGGAAGAGGGCTTTCCAAATCTGAACCTTTTTCCCTCTAGTAATGTGAAAGACGAACTGAAGGAGCTAGTATACCTTCTCTACGTATTGTTCAACTGAAATTAGATCTCTGGATTATACTTATTAAAATGTCTCCTTATTTTCACATCTCTTCCTTATTTAATTACTGCCTGGGACAGAAAGCTGCATGGAATCGTTAAATACCATTAGACCTATTTATAGTCTCTTCACACTGGCAACTTGAGTGCAATCATCGGCAGAGGTCCTGCCCACCATCCCACATGTCGGGGTTGCGATTCCCACCTGGCTCGGGGGTCTCCGACTGGGAGGAGGAAGATGCTGAGCTGGCCCCGTCCTCGGCAGCGCCCTGCGAGAGGAGACCCCGCCCGGGCGGGAGCTTCATGCCCAGCTGCTCTGCCATTTCCACGTGGTCCCCCGGGTGGACATAGTCAAAGACGCTGCTGCCTGTCAGCTCCACCTAGAGGGGAAGAGAAAGGGTGGGAAAGAAAAAGGTGTCACGGCTTTTTCCATTCTCCAATTCAGCACCACTGTGATTCAGAGTCCCAGCAGAAAGGAAATACGTGCAGGCCCCACAAACGATCCTGGTTGGAAGTCCTTCTCCTTAGATGCTGAACGATTCTAGTCAAAAGAGAAAGATGGTTTTGGGGGTGTGTGTGTATTTAATTAGTGATTGTTTAGCCCAGTTGTTTGCATAAAGCCAAAACACCGTGTGAAATGTGGATGAGCCTGCCTCACACTCAGCTGTTTTATCCATGCATCATCAAATACTCGCATGTTTGGTGTCAACCGGATGATTGACTGAATTCTATGGTTTTCTTTTTGAGAAGTTTTGGCTTTGTATAGATACAGTCAGAGACAGTGGAGGAGTATTTTCCTTAAAATACACCAAATTTCGAGATGTATATTTATACATATCAGCTTATTTCTATGTGAATTTAGATGGAAGAAGTGTTGCTTACAAATATATGCAAAGGCATAATGTTTTCATTAAATATTACTCATTAGCTCAGTAATCATATGGAGAATTTTCCATGCAAAAGAGGTCAGCTGGGGTCTGAACCAGTCTTTTTTTTTTTTTTTTCTGCTAGTATCAGCTTGTTTTGCCTTCAATCTAATAAGATACATGGTACAAATCTCCTTGAGGGCCTTAGGAAAATGTTTTATTTTGTATACTCTTTCTATCAGGCTGATTGTAAAGGTAAAGAATAAATACGGAATATCAGAAGAGGGTCAGCCTGCCGTGGAGGCACAGTCCCTATCTAATGGACTGGCCTTATCTCTGCTCTTCTGGTGGTATAACCCTTATATCCTTCCAAGAAGAGCAATAATGCTCCTAAAATAATGCTGGGTTCAAGGTACTATGACAGCGAGAGATGTGTCAGCAGCAGAATAAGAAAAAAAGCTCCTTCCCGGGTCCCTGATGGGTTTTCCCTGATCCTAGGAGTTTCCTGGTCTCAGGCCAGCTCTAATGCACCCCACTGCCAGAAATTTAGACTATCGTAAGTTTCTTGCTGGATCTTTACCTAGAACTCCTTCCTACCACCTGTCCCTTCCCTGTGCACTTTGCAGCATCCCTCCAGATGCCACCTGAGAGCCTGCACTCTTTTTCTTCCGAGAAGGGAGGCTGGCAGTGGGCGACCGTCACAGAGGGTGTAATACCCAGAGCAATTATTATCCCCAGAACTCTGAGTCCCAGTAAAATGATCACATCTACTCCCAGACACCATTTGATTAAAATCGTAACGGGCTACACATCTTCAACATCTATCAATTAACAGAGGGAGAGCCAGAAAAATGGGAGGCTAAATTCAGTTTGGTTAATAGCTATTCCTGAAAAAGGCTCGCATAACTTTTACCGAAAATGAGGTACTTTCTCTTTGCTATTAAATTACACTCTCCTACCGTATTACCCAACTACTGACTCTATCATTTTACAATAACTATTTCCTCCATTTGATATTGTTACAGAGCGTAAATCAGGATTCATAAGTGATCAGTTCCTACCCTCTGGGAGGGAGGGATTACATGGAAATAATCCCTTTAATGTGCGCCTTGCCTCTAAGCATTTCACACAGCAATAAATGGGTAAACTGACTTTGAGCAATTAAGAAATTAAATGAAACTAATAAAATGTGTGTTTTAATATTTCTTGATGGTTATTTTGTTTGGGGATTAGCAAATATGAGGAAGTCACTCACGTTTTGCATGGAGCCCAATTGCAGCACTTTAATATTGCTGTCACTTCTCAAACTCCGAGTCTTTCCTTAATACTGCAATGTGCCTTTTGGCACCGACCACAGATTGTGATAAGATGACAACACAGGTGGGAGATTAATAGATTTTTTAGGGGTGTCGGCTATTGAATATTCATGGAAGCCCGTTTTATGGCGAGGAGGAGGAAGCCACTGTCTCCACAGCCTGCTTTGCTTGATTGTACAGGCATTTCCTTTCCATAGCAGGATGGCCCAAGTATAGCACATCTAGAGCAAGACTGAGTCATGATGTGCCATACCACATTCTTCCTGTGCCCTCAAGAGCTCTTGCGCCAGGATACCCCAGAGTCGACAGTGGATGGAAAGGCTGGCACTGAAAATTTGATTCTCTCATAGTCTTTATGTGTGTGTGATACTAAAGGCCACACAGCGGAGGGGAAACCTCAAACTACTTGGAGTCGTAACTTGACTTAGAGATCAGAATCTTTGCCTCCTATGCTGTGTGATCTTGTGCCATTCACTTAACCTCCCTGGGCTTCAGTTCCCTATTTGGACCTTGCACGGGAAATGGCAGTACTGCTACGCCATGGGACTCTATGGGGGAAGGGGAGCACTACTCACACTGTGTTCTACAGGGAGGGAGGGGGTCCCTTGGAGTGTCCCCCCAATGGCAACAGTGTAAGGTAGTGGCCTGGAGAGTTGAGTTGAAAACAAGACTGTCTCTACCTGCCTCTGAGCCTGATTTTGAAAATCTAGCAAAACTGTGCAGAGGAAATCACTTTTTTTTTTAAGATTTTATTTATTTACTCATGAGAGAGAGAGAGAGAGAGAAAGAAAGAGAGGCAGAGACACAGTCAGAGGGAGAAGCAGGCTACACTCAGGGAGCCTGATGCGGGACTTGATCCTGGGACTCCAGGATCACGCCCAGAGCTGAAGGCAGCTCTAAACTGCTGAGCCACCTGGGCTGCCCAGGAAATCACTTTTTATGAAATAAGCAACAAGATGCCTACTGCCTCTGCCAAACAGCTTTTGGTGGATGAGAGTGGATGACACCCAGGCACATATACTCCTATGAAACTCGAGTGAGGAGTTCTTATGGCTTGTGTGGTGTCTGGGAAGTGGCTTTAATCAGAAAGTATGGCCAGAGTGATGTGCACTTTGAGCCCCAACTACAATGATAACACTGGGGGTAGGGGGGAGTTACCGATCACTGTGTACAAGTATTGTCCATACTTTTCTTTGATTGATCCTTGCAACACTCCTTTAAACTCTTCTGATTATTCCTGATTTACAGAAGAACCTGAATACTAGCAAAGCTAATAGTGGCAGGAGAATTTGGTTTGAAGTCCGCTTTGTCACCCTACCACTTCTTGGGCAGTGATTCTGCAGTCAGGGAGGCTGAGCAGGGACCTCCGTGCTCTGCCATCCTTTAGCTTCACTTCCATTAAGGAGAGAACACTGAACATCAGGGTGGGAGGAGGCCAGAGGTGCGCAGCCCACCCAATGCCAGGCCTGAGGGTGCTTTGCCTTTAGACTCTTAGGCAGAAAAAAGGCATGAAAGCAGGTATACTACATGGCCATAGACATGGGGATGGACAAGAGTCTCTGGACCTGGAGTCCTCCTTCTCTTCCTCTTCTTGACATCTTGTGTTTGTCTAGCACTTTCAACATTCCTCGCACTGCTTTTCACTTCTCTCTATTAGATTTTAGAGATGGGAAAGACCTTAAAAACCATCCGTGGATGCCCTCTTATTTAATAGGTGAGAAGTTAAAAATGCTTGTTCAAATTTACCCAGCTGTTTGCTGGTAAGAAGTAGGGCTGGCTGCCCAGTTGGCAAACTCTCAGTTAACCACTTGTCTCACCTCTTGTCTGATCTTCTCTCGTAGGAAGGCTGGCTAGAACTCACCTGCCACTAAATTCTACACCTCAAAGTACACTGCAGGAACCAAGACTAGGGATCTTTCTCTTGATGAACGGACATTACTTCATGCTACCTTGAAACAGGAAAAATAAATAGAGTTCCAATCCAATGTCACTATAGTTAATTAGACACCCTCAAATCCTCAGTTAGCAAGTCTTCCCAAACTTGGCCCCAGAGAACTAGGACTAGTGTCTCATACACAGGAGATTTATCACAAATGTTTGCCGAATGAATAAAGGACAACTATTTAGGCCTGAAAAAATTTTGCTTTATCTGTGTTTGATTTGGACAAGTTTACATTGGTTCTTTTATATCATTCATGGCATTATTATAACATTATTTGTCCTGTAAAATGAGTTACAATATAGGAACATGATATGTTTATTTCTAATAAGTATTTGTTAAATGCGTGGAGACCTTCCGCCTTCCTTTATAAAAGCCAACAGAGTTTAACTGAGGATAGGATTATAAAAATGCTGGGAAAGGACAGGTTTTTAAGGCACTCTTTAATGCAGCCATTTTTTTGTAACCCCCTCTCTGTAATCTGTAACCGAACTAGTGGGTTATCCACATGCTCGCATAGTTTTGTAAAAATTATTTCTTAACTATCTCTTCAAATTAACAGCAGAACTATGGAAAAATTTCATTTTATATTGACTAGGATCTGCATAATGGAAAGGTAAAGCCTCTCTCCCCTTAATATTGTGTTCTGATTAGTGCGAGTTGCATTGTATGGCAAATATGAGACCCTCTTCATTTTATAATAAATCCAGTCACCTTACGTGGCTAAAGAAAACAAACATGCTATGTTTATTAACTCAGGAAACAGACCCATGAGACTTTGAGCTGTCTTTCTAACCTAAAGAGGAAAAGTAAGCAGTACTGTTTCCAACCTTGCTCACTGGGTCCCCCTTTCCTCTCCCTGAGTGACATGGAAAGAAATTCCTCTCTCACATTGCTGAGTGTATTGGGAAACTGCTGAGAATGTGTAAGGGGCAGGCGACAGGCAATGAGTCATAAACAGCCTTATCCAGAAATAGGATTTGGTCTAAACTCCTTTCTCCCTGTGCTCTCCCATTCAACCTACCCTAGATTCCTCCAGAACATACTATGGCCACTAGGGCCATCTGCATAGTCAAGCTAAACCATAGCTTTCCTCGAATTTAATTCACATTCTGTTAGCTTGCATGCAATTTGCACACTAGACACAGTTGATTTGGTAACTCTGAAGTTTCCCAGAAAAAAAATGTAAATATATTATACAGTGGTTTGAGTTGACTTTTCCATGTAGGGTCATTGTATCCTGCTGGTAGATAGGATGG